TGTAAATATTTTTCTGGGCCCATTAATTTCTGACTAAAGTTTTATTTGTTCTGGAACAGCGATGTGCCTGACATAATAATTATTCTCAGATCAATAATTAGATCTGCAAAATCAATTTCTCAAGCCATGGACGTGACCACGGCTGGCCCAGCTTGGGCAAAAATGAGATCTCCATAAAGATGATTATAAACTTCACAGCAAGATGAAGCTGTACATGCACATGGACTTCCATTTACACACACATCTGGGTCCAGAATTCTGATCGCAGGTAAACACAAATCACGTGGGCTTGACAGCAGTCCATGAGTCAGGATCAACTTGATGGCAACAGTTGCTTTTTTGTTTGTTTATTATAAAAGATCACTGGTGGCAGCATATAGATGTGGCCCTATAGGATAAGCACTGGACTGCTAACTGCAGTTATTAGTTTAAGGATTAACTTTAAGAATTCCCACAGCAAAGAAATGATTCTATATAAGACTTTGGAGTTCTGGTGTGTTGCTTATCCTATAGGATAAGCACTGGGCTGCTAACCACAAGGTTGGTATTTCAAACCCACCAACCACTCTTTGGAAACCCTATACAGCGTAGCTATGAGTCAGAACAGACCCGATGGCACACAATGAACAACAGATGGCTATGGTGGCAGTTTCTACTTGGAAAAGTTAGTGATATCATGGTACAGAGTATTCATCTTCTTTGGAGCTTCCCATATCAGTCATCATTTGAAGAAGTGTCAGCATAACAATTTAAATATATAAGCATTTGAAAATATGTTTACCTAGTCTTTTGACAAGATGTACTTTTTATATGGAGTCCTGGTGTGGCACTATAGGATAAGCACTGGATTACAAGGTCGACAGTTCAAACTCACCAGCCACTCCTCAGAAACCCTATGCCAGGTCACTTGTAAGTCAGAACCAGTATGACGGCACTTAGCAACAAAATGTTTTATTTAGCTTGAGAGACAGGTGTTGGGGGTGGGGGAATAAAAGAAGGGGCTTTATAAAGGAAAGGAAAGCACATTCTGGGTTCTTTCAAACACATGGGCCTCAGAGGAGGCACTCCTTTGACATATTAGTGTAACCTTTTCTCTGTCCTAGAATTTAACCAGGAGTCCTGGTGTGGCGCCGTAGGATCAGCACTGGACTATGAACCACAAAGTTAACAGTTCAAACCTACCAGCTACTCCTTGGAAACTCTATACAGGTTGCTGTGAGTTGGAACCAACTCGATGCCACTTAACAACGACAAGAATGACAAAGAATATGACAAAGGTGTTGATCTTGCTGCAGAAACCATATTTCCTTATCTAGGCAAGAAAGAACAAATACTCCAGGAAGTAGTGGGTCATGGAGAACCCCTCTTTAAAGTAAAATAGAATTTAGACTACAACCTGGTTTTCACAAAGGAGTTCATAGGTTATGGATTTAACTCCAACTATACCTCAAATATAGAAAGGTATTATTACTGTTAACAAAAATGGCACCTTCATGAACCAATTAAGAATCTTAAAAAATGAATCAATGAATTTTAAACTTTGGTTGTCATGTAAGTCTGTAATCGGTTCTGGATGCTGGACCTAATTTTATAGAGAATTAGGCATCCAGACAGAACCAATTTCCATGACACCATGGCCTTCCCTTCCAGTAGAAAATCAACCAAAATATTCACCGTAGGAGGAATTCCAGGCTCAACCACATTAGCAAGTCCTCAGCCACTAGGGGCTTCAGAATGCTGACTCCAAGGCATCACAGTGCAATTATTTATATGACAAAAGCAGAGTCCTGAGCCATTTTTCCTGGACCAGAAAAGCCACACCTGGGACCAAGAACACCCCGTAAGAGGCTCTTCCACAGCCACGCAAGCATTGCATCAGAATGAAACAAAGAACAAATTACCTCATGTTACAAATAGAGTCACCGCCTTGGCAATGAATAATAATAATCTTCTGACTTCAAATTGGCCATGGACAATGGAAGAAATCATAACTAATTGTTAGCTCACCATGCATTATAGCTAGCATTTCCAAAAAATGAATTTGATTTTGAAATTTGATTTGATCCTTCATGAAAACTTTCTCTGACCTGGAAGACCACTTAGACTGTGTAGGACTTTCTTCTACCAGCCCAGGACACACTTTTGCTGCCTTGAAAAACTTCTCAGCAGAGGCCCTGATACTAAACCTTGCACACACACGTCTTAGAAAGTGTCATCCTAAGTAAATGATTCAGAGATGAAATGCAGTAATTATATCACCCTTAATATAAACATCTATTTCAATGTTTACTCCAGCTTGAGCACAATAAAAGCCAGTCACTGTGGAAATTACAAGCCTTTGCCATCTCTTAATTGTTATAATCATACAATCAAGTTTATTCACGCTTAACCTTTACTCATCATTGTTATTAAATAACCCTTAACATTTATTTTGTTGGCATGTGCTAATAAACACATAAATTCCCAAGAGAGCAAAGGAAAAACCCCAGTCCAAAGTATTCTGTCCGTGTGAAGCCAATTAAGAAAGGGCTGCGAGTGTCTTAAGGTCTTAGACAACAGAAATGGTTTCTGTGGAAACACATTTGCCTTGGCATTTCTCACCAAGCCAGAATCTACAGAGCAACATACCTTCAAACAGAAGCTAGTGTAAACAGGGCCCCACCACATACCCCCTTAACCTGGGCTCCATTCTGTAAAGTAAAACTACAAAGGAAGACAGCAATCCAAACACAATTTATTTTACTATAACTGGATGTTTTCTTTTATTCAACCATACAAATTTAATGGGGATACCTGAATAAATCTTTCAGTTTATTTACCTTTGGCAGAAACATTTAGATTTCTAAACATATAGTAATTCATTTCTCCTACTGCCTTAAAAAAAATCCCGCAGCATATTTTTCAAAACAATACTCTTAAACAGATAGGTTTAAAAGTTAATTGGTAATGATTTTGATTTATATTATAGCTTATTTAAGATAACAGTTACCTTAAGAGGACAGACTAGACACGCATCTCTTTTAAAAAATACAATTTTTTTGGTCATATGTATGATTCACGTTCAGATTTCAAAAATAGGAAGTGTCCTAAAGTGCATCATTTATAATATAACTCTTTGAAATTATAGCGATCTGCAATGTAAACAGTAGAGCAAAGAATACCAAACTATATTTTCATATACATTTAAATTTGTGGGATTATGTACCATTTTTAAGTGTGTGGATCAACACCAGGGCCTCTAACATATAGCTCATGATTATTTTTAGGAGCAAACTTAAAGGCATTCTTTTCCCTCAAGGCATAAGCAATTTTCAACTGACAGAGGAGAGTTGCCACCTCACTTCAGCAATGGAAAATATTGTTGTAAATCCAATCTTCAAACCACAGAGTTTCCTAGCTCATGTTGAAACTGACACTTCATCAGTACAGTTTTAGATTTTCTTTCTCTCTCCTTATTTGGGGGGGAGAAAGAAAAAAGATACACTTTAAGAGAGCAACTCTGAAGATATAAGACATCCTATTCGTCCTGCACCATTATCTTCAAATGGCAGACTCTGCTCAGACACACGGCTGCGGTGTACAGAAACTTAGGCTAGAACCCAGAATGGTCCGGCTGGACCAGAGCCTACTTTCCTCAGTGCATACAAAGAAAGAAGGCTAAAAAGTAGCAACAAATCATATAAGTGTTGTTAGCACACTGAAGAGATGAATGATTTGGTGTCTTAAATCTGCTGGTCCCCCCCAAAAAATGTCTAATATAGACAGCTTTGTGGCACAGTCTTTGCAAAAAATTTAATTGACCACACACCATTCTTTCTCCTCTTTAGGAATAGTCATCCTCATCTTGAAAACAGTATGATTTACACTCTGCCTTGGACTGAGCTCTGAGGACATATTTATCCTTCAGTTTGGGGATTCGGGTGCAGGATTACTTTAAAAAAAAAAAAAAAAGTATTCTGGTAAGCACTCAAGAGGCTGACAACAACACATCTCTTCTCTCATGATCTTCTACACACTTAGGCTAAGAATTCAGCAAGACCCTTTATGTTGGCTACTGTCAAAATGAAATGGAGCCCCTAAAAGGCTGCGATATGCATGACGGCCTTGCTTAGTGTTTGATGTCAAGTGTCTTTTACAAATCTGCTGTCCATGAGCAGGAAAGAATTCACCCGGCTCTTCACCCTGTTACCTGATTTAAAAATCATCATGAATACAGCTATTGCTATTATTCCTCTGTCCTCTGCAGATAACCCAATTCTAGTCAGGAACCAAACTTTTTTGTCAGCTGAGGACATCCTGAAGAAACACACCATCAAACACCATACAACCACTCCAGGCAGATGGGCGCATCCATCTACCTGAGAGCAGAAGAGGAAACACAAGAAATTCACACCAGTGGGAAAGGTGCAGCGCTGTGTAAAGGTCACTAGAAAGGCCAAGGCAGCAAATAGGGCTCTCCAATGCACGTCCACATTGAAGGAGGTCCAAGGAGAATACACACCTCCACAGCAAGTTCGCTCTACAAAATGAAGTCCTGAGCTTGTTTTGATCACAGTTAGACAGAGAATGGTCTCCGTTTCTTAGTTCTCCAGGGAAAGAACAGTGTATATTCTCGGTAGGTGAGTGTGTCTATACGTAGTGCTTTGTTACTGACAGACTTAGTAAAGCTTCCACTACACAGGGGTGTGTGCTTGTGTGTGTGTATGTGTGTGTACAGGAATCTTGACTTTCCCACTGCAAAATTCCCAAGTCAGGTTAAGTTGCCTTCTTCCATTTAGGTAGTTTCTTAGGCAAGCAATGGAAACAGGAGCCGATTCCAGTGGCCCGGAGGCAGAAGGGTTACATGCTTTGCAGGTCCAGGAAAGCCTTCCTTGTGCTCTCCATCCCCAGCTCCGAGATTGCCTTCCAGTTTCTGCAGAGCTGCTGTTTGCCAGAGGCAGCTGCAGGTAAATTCACCCTGCATCTGTTCCGCCACCTTTGCCGGAGCTGGAGCTCCCTCCTTACATGGATTTGGAATCAGTGTCTCTCTTGCTGATGAGCACCTCTAAGAGCCTTAGTTTTGCCTTTATGTGCTTGTATTCGTTGTATTCTGCAGCCATAGGAGTGCGGTCCTCCTTCTGGACATTTCTAATGGAGACAAAGGACAAGAGAGGAGAGGATCATTTTCTGTCTTGCCTAGATGATACTGTTCATCAGTTAAATTATCACCATGAGGAAATTCGGCAATTTATTAATCTTCAGTAAGGAGCTCTGGTAGCATAGTGGTTATGAATCGGACTACTAACCTCAAGGTCGGCAGTTTGAAACTACCAGCTGCTCTGTGGGAGAAAGATGAGGCTTTCTGCTCCCGTAAAGATCTGCAGCCTCGGAAACCCAGTGCAGGGTCACTATGAGTAGGAACTGACTCCATGGTACTTAACAACAACAACAAAATCATTGTTACCTAGTGTCATTTAGTATCAAGACTAAAGCTGGGTTTAGACAAGCAGTGGAAGATAGCTTCCCCCAGAAGGCACCACACCACATTACTGAGTTTTTATGTAGTTGATTTGACATTTTATAGAATGATATGAAAGACTAAAATGTTGATTTTTTTTTCTCGCTCTGCTTTTACATTGAGCTTACATTAAGAATCTCTATATAGGAATCCAGAGCCCCACCCAGAACATTCTGAAGTGGGACATTCCATGGACCATCATATAACAATATTTACCTCTATTCCCGCTGCCCCCCCCTTTTATGTACACATACAAAACAGAAAATATATATTCAGAAAAGACAGGCAAACCAACCTGGGTCAGTGAGAGTAATAGTAGGTATTTCTTGAAAGAAAGACCAGCAGACTGTTTGGCTGTCAGAACATCAAGTAAGTTGTTTGCCTTGGCGCCATCAAGACAAGAAAAGTCAGCCCATCAGGGTCAACCTCCTTCTAAAGAAGCACACTGAAACTCTAAAGAAGCACACCACTCTGGTCTACTTTTGAGTGAAAGTGAGGGAAATGCAGCAATGAAGATATAGGCTGACACCTGTTGACATTGAGATGACAGAAGAGGAAGGGCTGACAAGTCTGAAGTTTAGAGAGATGTGTGAACTCTGGAACCCGTGGACACTGACCTAGCTACTGGAGGCTAGAATTGAGAGTGAAGCAGCCAGCTGGTCTGAAGGGCAGGGAGGCATGTGAGAGCTCCCAAACTTGCAGATCATACCCATTTGACCTAGCTTGGATGGCTAGCTGATCAGAACTCTACCATATGAAGTTAAAGAAGTTTGATACAGGGAGCAAGTGAAAATTGCTACTATTTGATGCACTGGACCTTTGCTTAGAGATGTAGTTGCTCAAGATTCCAACTGAAAGGGAAACATTCTTCAAGCTTGCTCCCTCAGTACACTGGGTTGATAGCCAAGGTCTAAGTTGCCCATCCCTATAAAAAATGGGGGCATGGGATCCTAAACAGAAAAGTGGCTACAGCAGAGATGGTGGTAGAGGTGATGGCATAGAGAGATAGAGCAGCTGGGGATTCTAGGTCCATGGACTGAGAAAGGCTGTGTGCCTACAGGCAGGAGGCTAGCTTGCAAAATGTGCCGTTTGGGCATTTAAATGAATATATATTTTCTGTTTTGTACGTATACATAAAAGGGGGGTGGATAGAGGTAAATATTGTTAACTGATGATACATGGTTATACATGATTGTAATCATTACACTGAAATAAAATATTTATTGAATGTAAAACTAATAATCTGCCCTGCAAACTTTCACTCAATTCACAATTTTAAAAAATGAGAAAGAGATGAGCCTAAAGGAAAGTCAGCACATCAGGGAAAATCCCGTTCTCACAAGCAGTCTAGTGTGCTCACTGGGGACTATCCTGGTCTACTTGACCATCAAGAAGGAAGAACATGAATGGAGCATGAGCTCCTACCTAGAAAAGCAGCGACAGCAGAGACAGAGGTGGTACATGGAGAGAAAGAGCAGCTTCAGACTCTAGGACCAGGGGCTGACAAAGACTGTGTCCATGAAAGTCAAAGGCTGGCTGGAAAAATGTGCCCTTTGGACATTTAAATGGATAGATATTTATTGTTTTGTATGTGTACACTAAATACTTTTGCTTTGTTGATTTCTGAAAAATAAGATGTAAAAGGGAAGCCACAGGGAGGAAGCAGGGTAACTATTGTTTCTGAGAGGGGATTATAATCATTTAGATGAAACAACACATATGATTAGTTAAAAGGAAAGCTAATGATCTTTATCTGTTAACCATCATCACTCAATTAACAATTGTTGTTGCTGTTGTTATGTGCCGCGGAAGTAGGTTCCGACTCACAGCAACCCTGTATAGGGTTTCTGGAGCTACAAATCTTTACGGGAACAGAAAGCCTCATCTTTCTCCCACAGAACAGCTTGTAGTTTCGAACTGCTGACCTTGAGGTTAGCAGCCCGACTTGTAACCACTATGCTACCAGAGCTCCTTAATTAACAATAAAAACTTAAAAACAGCAAAAAAGAATCTCAAACATTGGAGTTCTGGTGTGGCGCTGCAGTATAATGCACTGGACCACAATGTCAGTTTGAACCACAAGGTCATCAGTTCAAATCTACCAGCCACGCCTCAGAAACCCTATACAGAGTTGCTATCAGTCAGAATGATACACTGAAATTCTTTACACAGTATTACAACTTAATGCTTTTAATCTTTATATATTCCATCTAATGAATCATTAAATTTATAACTAGCAATTGTTGCTGTTGTTGTTAATGCTGTGGAGTCTGTTCCAACTCATAGCTATCCTGCATAAGGTTGCCAAGGAGTGACTGGTGAGTTTGAACCAATGATCTTACAGTTCAAACTAACCTTAAGGTGCAGTGCTTATCCTATAGCACCACACCAGGACTCCAATAGCAATTATATACCCACAATTTATACATTAAATAAAACCAAAAAAATAAAAATAAAAATAACATATTTATTATAAAGTCAGTTTTAAAATTCAGCAGTTAGATCACGGAATACTAGTAAGCCTTTCCCTCATCATTTCTGAGCTATTTTCTATGTATACTTTTTTATATATGCACAATTATTGAGAGTCTAACACTGTGCTTGCATCAAGTACTGTGCTAAAAGGCACAGTATTTCTATGATCTAATATAACCCTTATAACGACTTGATGGAATGAGTCATTGTCTACATTGTACTTATGATTTCCACAAGGACTGGAAGGCAGAGGGACTCACTGCAAAGCGATTGCTCTTAACCAACATGCAGTCTTGAGTCTCATTTCACTTTGAAATCACAAGTCAGACATTCAAAGACAAGACTTCCATTTCCTATTACTGAAAAGGAACTATGGGAAAGGCTTATTTAATTTGCTAAGTGAATTAAATATAAGTGGATTTTATTTGTGCCTTGCCTTGTTCTAGTAAAGAATTCTAGATGGTTTTACAGGAGACAATGATGGGAACAGCAGATTTGGGGAAAAAACCCTTGATGTTTAGTCCTAGTTGTGCCTTTTGAGGGGTTTCAGTGTGCTCAGCCACAAAATAATCGAACCAGAGTCTATGATTATCTTTAGACCCTTATAGTTCTAGATATTTATGACAATTATGAATACCTCAATTATACTTCATTAAAATATTAATACTTTTTCTTAAAACTTGTACAGGTTATATGATTAAATAGTTTCTTGTGTACAGGATATTTGTATATGATGTGACTAGTTATATGAAAAAAAGTAACATACACAAACCAAAAATATACTTACAAAAAGATTGGTAGGAAACATCAAAACATTAATCATGGTTTGTTTTTTCATATTATTTTGGGGGATATTACTTTCTCATCTTTACCTGCTTTTCTATATTCTATAAATATTTTACAATGAACTTGTTGTTGTTAATTGCTATGGAGCTGGTTCCAACTCATGGCAACCCTGCATAAGGTTTCAGAGGAGTGGCTGTGGGTTTGAACTAGGGACCCTGAGGTTCAAACCAACCTTATAGTCCCATGCTTATCCTACAGTGTCACACCAGGACTGCATTACAATTCATATGAAAATAAAAATAAACATTTATGTATAAAAATGGATATAAACCTTTTGAAAGTCATTACAGGACAGATCCAAATCAGAGATCCTAAAAGTAAATCTATACAATAATTGCAATAAACTGGAATTTAATGCATGTTGAATGCCTAAGTTTTATGGCATATTTATTTCCTAATATTTTCCAGAAGCACAAAAAAGGGCTTAAAAGAAACAAGGTATATAAATATATGTATATATATAGCTTGGAGTTCTGGTGAGGCATTGTGGGTTAATGCACTGGACTGCAAAGTCATTTAAGCTGCACGGTTGGCATCCAAGCTCATCAGTTGCTCCTTTGAAATCATATACAGGGTCACTATGGACCAGAACCGACTCAATGGCACTTAACAACAACAACAATATATATAGTTTACATAATTTGGATGAAAATAAAATGAATTTTAACTGATATAATTTAACTCCAACACAAGAGATACAAATGTATTCCCCATTCTATCCTTGGGCTCATGATGTGGTTTTAGCACACCACTCTGTGCAGTCACTTAAAAACACAGACGACTATTTGCTTTTCAGCATAATAATATATAAGAATGATTAAATTATACCTCTCAACCAGATGGCTTTACTACTTCTCATACATATTTATCATTCAAACTTGGCATCTATCATCTCTGATTTTAAAATAAGATTCAAAACTAGCAATGTTTAGAGTTCTTTGTTCTTATTTCTCTAATTTCCTAAAAGAAAGGTGGAAAATCCAACAGTGCTGTCAATTGGAAACTCAACTTCAAGTTGCTTGTTTTAGATTAGAATTTGATGTGACAGGTTCGTTTTATAAATAAACATTAGCAGAGTCTGCATCTGCTTTGGATGGCATCCTGGGGACATTCCTCCTAAAGGTCACTGCAACTCTCACCATCTCATAGGAAATCTTTGCGGATCCCTAGGAACCCCTGAGGACTGGGCTAAGAATAGTGTCCACTTTGGAAGCATTCCACACATTTGGACAGACATGGAAGGGAATGTGTGTGTATAGTGGGACATGGCAGAATAAATGCAGTACCTTCCATTTTGTCTGAAAAAGTTGTCTTCAAAGTCACGAAGTTTCTTCCTAATTTGTTTCTTTTCTTCTCTCATTTCCTGAAGGTGTTCCAAGAGTTCAGGTCTAAGAGGGCAAGAAATATCAAGAAAATTTCATTACACTGGAAATGTTATAAATGTAATGAGCATCCAACTCAGTGAAGTTGTGGAGAAAGAGGACAGCACATAAATGCAAAAACTGTTGAGGGAACTTTAAATGCCAGCAAAATGGATGTTTTCTATCCCTTGGAAGCCCAAACCACTGACAATAAAAATGGCTTTTGGAGGTTCCTGCAGGCTCCTGCTACTAATGAATTCCTAGGGTTTATGAAGTCCTGTAGTGCTTTGTCGTATTTTGCTTTGAGAAAGAGATGACATCTGTGCTCGATGTTTGTTAAATTATGAGCTGTGGAGTACAGAACCATCCAGTGCCTATATTTTTAGAGACTTTCTGGTTATTTAAGCAAGATCTCAAAAACTCCCTCAAATAATACGGTATGAAGAAAATACAAATATTGAGCCAGGAAATTTAAAAAGTAAATAAGTATAAACATCTTATACATACAAACACCCTCCAGCTAATTCACCTGTTTTTTGCCAGCTTATTTTACAAAGACTGAAAAAAAAAAATTGAAGATGGTTATTTTCACTGAAACATACATCGAAGCAGCATGGAGATTAGAAAGCCCTGTGTCCTGGTTGCACTTTGATGGCACTTTATCATCCATTGGGGAAATAAACCCATCAGCATCATCTTCGAATTGGTCCAGAAAGCAACGTTCACTGAAATCAGTTTTCAGGGTGACCATGAAGTCCGGCTTTGTGTTGGTGTCATCTTCTGAACCTTCCTCTTCTTCCTGAAGATGAATAGCAATCCCCCCCAAAATCGGGTTACTTTTTCTGGTACTCGTTCACTTCAGGTATTATTTAACAATCAACAATCACCTGTTATCTAGACATATAAACGTATGATTCTAGTTTCTTTTATATTACATTTAGTAACACATTTGGTGCATGCTGACTATATGCTCAAATCTATATGATTTAAATAACACACACTAAAAACAGCTACTCAAGGAAAACAGACTATCAAGTGGGTTCTCAACATTTACCTTATTAAGACTTGTCAAGACCAACAGTAGGAAGAAATCATCAATACAACTCTATATCTCAAATCAAATGAACCAAAAAAAGCCTAAAAATGTCCAGCTCTGGACTAGCACACAGCACCACCACAACCACAGCTGTGTCTAATAATTCTATCATTTGTGTACCGCTAAATCTGTTTTATTAAGGTATGAACTATTTTTAGATACTCAACAACACAGCCTTTCTAAAAGTACAGTACTATACATAAAAGAACATATTACATGTATCTCTAAAGTATTTTGTGTGATTGCTCAAAGTACAAATTTTTGGGGACATTTTATTGTACAGTGGGTGAAGGTTCACACATTACTTTCACAGACGCTTCATAGACATTTTGTGTCATCTCAATGACTTCAGTCCCCTCAATAAAACATCACAGATCCCACTTCCTCCCTGCCTTTCTTGTTTCCATTCCTCCTTCTTGCCTAACTCCTCTGAACTTTGTCCTTGGTTAACTGTTACCCATTTGATTTTGGATGGTTTACTATAAGGCAGGGGTGGGAACCTTTTATTTTTTCTGCCAAAATGTATAATATCATTGGTGGGCCATACAAAATTAATACCTTAATAATTAGCCTGCTATATTTGGCCAAACATCTAATTAACTCCCCTCCAATGTAATGGTGGAGTCCTGGTGTGGCACTGTGGATTCATGTACTGGATTGCAAAGTCAGTTTGAACCACAAGGTCGGCAGTCCAAGTTCACCAGCTGCTCCTTGGAAACCCTACACAGGATTGCTGTGGGTCGGAAGCGACTTGACAGCACTTAACAACAGCAACAACAATGTGATGTCTGGGATTCTGGTGTGGCACTGTTGGTTAAGGCGCTGGACTACAATGCTAATTTAAACCACAAGGTCAGTGGTTCAAGCTCACCAGCCGCTCCTCGGAAACCCTATACAGGGTTGCTATGGGTCATAACTGACTCCATGGCATTTAACAACAACAAATGTGATGGCTAAGGAGATCTGATAGCATACTGGTTATGAATCAGGCTGCTAATCTCAAGGTCAGCAGTTTGAAACTGCTAGCAGTTCCGCTGGAGAAAGATGAGGCTTTCTGCTCCTGTAAAGATTTACAGCCATGGGGACCCTGTACAGGGTCACTATGAGTTGGAACCAATTCCTTAGCACATCACCACCAACCACCAATGTGATGGTTGGAACTGCAGTTGTCTTGGCAGAGCCAGACCAAATGGTTTTGTGGGCTCCTCCTTACCCATTCTAAGGTGTGCTTATCCACAAGTTAGTTCTCTGATGTTGTTGTTGTTGTTATGTGCCATGGAGTCGGTTCCGACTCATAGCGACCCTATACAGGGTTACTGAGGCTGTAAATCTTTACGGGAGCAGAAAGCTTCATCTTTCTCCCGCGGAACAGCTGATAGTTTCGAACTGCTGACCTTGCAGTTCGCAGCCCTATTTGTTACCACTACGCTACCAGAGCTCCTTCAGTTCTCTGATAGACTTATCAATTGCTTGGCTGAAAATTCAGCCAGTTCAAAACCTGAAGGGAGACTGAAGGTCATAGTCTCAGAGGTTCCATTAGTCTCTGACCAGTAAACCTGCTCTGTTTTATGGTTTTGAGTCTTGATATCCATCTATCCAGGACCTTCTAATGTGGTCCATTTTTTTTTTTTTTTTTTTTTTTTAATTTAAGGTTTTTATTGTGGATTAAGTGAAAGCTTACAGGCACATCATCAGTTTCACATTCAACAATTCATATAACTTGTTTCATTACATTGATTATAATCCCCTTCATATACGATCAGTTAAAGTATTTCTCTTTATCCACTTTAGCTTTTT